AGCCAAAAATCAGCTAGCTTTTGAGCCTGTGCAAATACCACATCCTTCACCCAGACTCCCCCTTGGTCAAGGTGAGCAGCAGCAAGCGCTGCCTGCACAATTCCCCCCGTGAACAGCCTGGGAAGGCTCAGGAAGATGTCTCCTCACAAAGCACTTGGCTGAAGACACCTCATCCCCCCCAAAGCAAAGTATCAGCCATAAACAAATTATCCACTTCACCTTTAAGCAACTAGGACATCTGAAAAGCTGTCTTGATTTAAGATTTTTTTTTTTCCCCAAGTCAGTAATAATAATCAGGCTTGCTAATTGTAAATGTCAAGTTTTGAGCACATCCCAAGATGCCAAATTATAGGAATATGGTACCCAAACTCAAGGATGTTCCAAATACCTCAGGAAATAAAAGAACACCCTTTGAAATAAATTCCTATCTTCCTTCTGTATAATGTTATAAATCAGAGAAATATGGGAAAAACACTGGCTTATTATTTGCCCTCTGTAGAGGTCATTCCTCAAAACCTGGAAGAGGCACTCAGTTAAACCACTGCATGTTACCAAAATTAATAAATCTTGTTAGTTTGTGGGTTCTAAATACCAACACAATAAATTAGAATATTTAAAACCACAAAGCCTGCTCACAGCAGCAGCTTATTAAAATGTTGGTTTGGGGTTTTTTTTTTTTTGCAGTAAGAATAAAAACAACCAAGTACCTTCTCTTACTTTTAGCTTTCATCATCTGACCTACCCGACATCTAGGGTCTGGAACTCTTATTTTCCATCCCCAACACCAACAACTGCTTGAACTCAACAAATAACCACCCTGGACTGTAATCCATGAACCAAGTAAGCTTGCTTTTTGATAAAGCAAAGCACAGCCTCACTGAAGGTTTGGTACTCCTTTGCCAGCTCATGGGATGCCAGCTTCATGTAGGACCTGCCTTCCCCAGAAGTTTAACTGGGGATGCTTAACCAACCTCCAAAATCAGCCCTGCACCTTTCTCCCCGTGTCCTGGGCTAAACAGACAGATGCTGAGTCACATTTCTTCCCCAATTTCAAATGCAGCAGTACAGCACAACAGACATGGGTCACCAACCCGGTCCTACCGGAGCAGCTGAGACCAGACACTAGAGTTGTGGGACTGTGGGTACCTGAAGGGCTCACACAACCCTTTTCTGTGGATCCAAGTGTCAAATTCTGGGGAAAACAAAAAAGCTTTATCTAAAATATATCTCAGAAGAAAAACACATGATCATACAGCTCACTACAGAATTCACACAATGCTGCATCATCCTTGAAAGACTTTTTGCCTCCCCAGCTGACAGCCACATGCATTTTAGAACAGCTCTAGAACTGCTTCACATCACCAGGAATTTACTGTCCAAACAGGTCGGTAAGAACCATTCCCCAGACCTTAAAAATCAAACTAAAATGATGGTGCTACACCAAGCACAAAATCTACTGCTACAGCCTGCAAGGGCTTATATATGTGTCCTTGAATCTGAATGAAGGAGAAAAGCCAAGTTTAAGGAATAAAACATCTCTTGATTCTTCCATCTCTTCTTTAATATAAATACCAGTATCAGCTAACAAACCTAGTAAATTTACAGCTGACAGCAAGGCTCAAGAAGAAGAAAAAAAAAAAGGAAAAAACCCCAGAAAACCAAACAAACCCAACAAAATACTTTCCAGTGAAGATATTTCAAAGCCACCAATTTGCTGCATAGGCTTTGATCTGTATAATAACGAGCTCAGATAAGCCATGTCCATGGAGGAGTGAGGAAGTTCCTGTAATTATCTGTTGACAGCTGCGGCTGTAAGGACAACTTATTACTCCAAAATGAGAACAACCCTCCTCTGCAGCATAAATTTAGTTTACTCATGGACTGAGTATTTCCCCAGGCAGCTGCTTGTAGCACCCCACAGCTTCCTGCCCTGATGCAGGGATGTATTTTATCAGGCTGATTAATGCCTTGTACTCATCAAACCTGGTCACAAGGTACAAACCCCAGAGGTTTCCCTGCTGGTGCTTAAAAGGGTGTCCCTTTAATAAAGCCAGCTTCATTCAGGTTTCTCTGGAGAAGCATAGTGAGGAAGAGCAGAGGAGCCAGTGATTTTCCTAATGGCTGATGACAGTTATCTGGAAAATTCTGCCAGGGAACACCGTACCCTCAGCAGCTGAAGTCACTGATGACCTCAAGGGCTTGATATAGCCAGTCTGTCTCTAGGCTTTTCATCTTTCAAGGCTAATTTTGTTCACACTGTCCTCTATATAACTGAGCATACACTTTTTTGAGTTATCGATACAAATCCTGGACTCTGCACCCATAAATAAGCAAATACAATTCCACATGCCCGTGGGTTAAGTCACCTTCACCATCTCCTCCTGCTGAGCAGCACAGCAAGCAAGCAAGGAGCACTGTCTAAAGCCAGTTTTAACCAGTGAAAATGCCACACAGGCTCTCACAGAAGACAACCACAATCGCCTACTCAGAGCTTTGCAAAGCCACCATCAGCCTCGCCAGCACGGCAGAGCCGAGTGACACGGAGGGCTCAGCTTCTCCCAGCCGCAGCAGGGATGCCAAGGGGGAATGCGCCGTGCCCGGGCCCTTGAGCCGCTGTCCGCACGGGTGAGGCTGACCCTGCCCTGCCGAGGAGGGAGCCGCAGGGCACCGCAGGGAGCCGGGCACAGCCGTGACCTCCAAAGGAGCCGCTGCTCTCCCCGCCGGCTCCCCCTCCCTGGCACGCCGGTCACTGCGACTGCCCCAGGGACACTGCGCCAAGCGCAGCCCGACACCGGGAGCGGGATCCGAGCCTCGCCGAGGCATCTGGGCGAGCTGAGAGCCAAAGCCACGCTCGCAGCTTGTGCGCCGCAGCCGGGGGCTGCAGCCTAATTGCTCCGGAGCTCGGCAGCGGCGGAAAATCGTGCTCGACACAAGCCAGCTGCAGGATCAGCAGGGAGGATGTGCCCCAGGAGCGAAATGTTCATGCAGGTGGGACAGCAAAGCTGGGTCAGGTTATGTAGATCTACGCACATATACAGGTAAAATACATAATATTAACACAGATGACCAGCACAGCTGGGTCGAGTTTGTTTCCCCTCACACATACACGCTGTTACATGACATGAATATTCAGCACCCACTGCTACGTGCTACCTTTGAAGCTGTGCTTTTCTGACTTGTCTTTCAAGAAGTTCAAGGAACAGGTGCAGAATCTGAGCAGCCACAAAACAGAGCTACCCCATGCCCTGGGATGAAAGAATGGCCACCCTGTGACACCTTGTAAGACCTTTTTACCTCCTCATTGAGTGCTTAATTGTCATTGTGTGCCTCTTATTTATAAGATGCTGCTTATTAACACAAAGAACTCTTAACTTATGCATAGGCATTCTATTATGGTTAAGCAAATTACTTGGTTATTTTTGGTGAGGGGGGAAAGAGGGGAACAACACAGGGGTGCCACTACTGAGGTGCCCAGGCAACCTGCTCTGGGTATTTCAGACTTTTTTCCCCAAGACTTGTCTAGCAAAGTGGACTAGGCTACTTATAAGCAGTTTTGGTGAATTCAAGAACCCAGAAAAACTTGTAATAACAACTTTAGTGGGCAAATTGTAGTTGCTGTGCCCAGCTACACACTCCCTTTTTCTAATCAGGGTCCACAGACAAGAAAATAACTTGAGGGAGTTGCTGAAGCATCACCAATTCCAGCCCAGCACATAAACATGAACTAGCTTCTCCTTCTGGCTCACCCTAATGCACCAAACTAGAAGCTGCAGAAAATAAATTGGCCAAGGCTGCTGCCCTGGAGATGCAGCAAGAGCAGAGAACAGCCGCAGCACTCGCTATCTGCACTCGCAGTTTTCATCTGCCAGGACAGAGGGACAGTTGTGACTTTCATCCCATTACTCAGAAAACACAAACTGACTGCCCAATAACTTACCTAAAGGATGCACCACAGGGATGGGGAACAGTTTAGGCATGGATAAATTACAGGATAAAGGAGGAACACATCAAAAGACACAACACAGACAACGTTAACCTATTGCCCAAACTGATTACTCCAACACCTTTTTGTGCTTACTGAAAAAGGAAATAACAGCACTTTCCACACAAAAAGCAAAGGCTCAAAATGCCATTTAAAGAAGCAAACTGTTGAGCACTGCAGGTCTACCTAGCCCTTTTCATCATCCAGCCAAAAGCATCCATTAAAAATCACCTCCAATTCAAGAACTGTTTGTTGATGCTTCTGTTTGTGTGTGCATACATGACATGGTTTTCTGCGAGATGGTTCTGCCTGTCGCTCACCGCTGTTCTGCTCAACAGAGGTGTTCTTAGGTATAACATATCAAAGATCACTGAAGTAATCAAACTTAATAATTAATCTGTGCAGCCAGGATTTCTGGAGTCAGTCCAGTCACTATCACTATTTCAGTCTGAAGTTCAGACCCTGATGTCCTGCACATGCACAGTAAAAATTGGGATCTGAGCGCAGCCACGGTGCTGTTTGTGTCAACTCATCTCCATTTCTCACTCAGTACAGCCTTTTCATGTTTATGTACACATCTTCTTGGTCACCATCAAACCTAAGGGAGGCACAGAAATACCACAAAAACACCCACAGCAGGAAATTATGCAGTGTAACCCTACCAGGCTTCTTTAAGCATACACAGTATCCGTGAACTCTACCCTACGTTCATTTTAGACCATTTTTAGTTTGCTTAAAAGCTACTGATGTGATTTCCAAGACAGAATGCACTGTCTTTCACTTCTAGCACAGCATTAAGCACCTCACTCAAAAGCAAAACACTTGAACCATACAAAAATGCCTCATTTTGTTGAATTTGTGACCCGCAGTTCCCCTCAGCACCGCTCAAAGTGAATTCCAGGGAACATTTCACCAAGCAACAACAGAACATCTGAAAATCACTGCTTAAAACCTGCCACTCCTCACATGAGGTCAAGCAGGAACCACAGAAATTACTGTAAAACTCAGCAAACCTTACTTCTGGCAGGGGGCTGGCCGGCTTCGTTAGGATTCCTCCCACATAAACAACGTTGGGTAGCGTCGGTCTTGGGAACTCCAGCGCTACATCAGTACAAAGCATCCACAGGCTGGATCCGTGGACCAAGTCATACATGGAACGTTCTGGAAGAACCTTGTGTTTCTGCATTATCCTTTCGTATTTTGGCAGAACCAAAAAACTGACTCCAAATCTTGAAATAAGATAAACAACAGTATTTTTAATCCTCTCGAATAGGTTCATGTGATCTGTGAGCAGCGAGTTAAATTCTGGAACGTAGGACAGGGGAGCTGGAGCGCCCACTTCTGCTGGATACCAGAGGCCAGTGGAAAACACGGCGTATTTAACCCCCAAAAGATGGGCTATAACAAATCCACACATCTCATTGGGATCTACCAGGAGCAGGTCAAATTTTTCCTGTTTGAGGGCACGCATGAGGTCTCGGTTGCCGACGATCATGTCGCAGTTCTTGGAATAGTGGTCCAGGATATCGAACAGCTCGAGGGCAGTCAGCCTCCCCGAGAAGATACTCCTCATCTTGGACTGGAGGAAATCATCCGAGGTGCTGCTGTTAAAGATCCCTGGGTAGCGCTGAAGTCTGTAGTGATTAGATGGAGGAATCTCTCTGCCCTCAGAGAGGAGAAACACTGTCTGGTGACCTTGGTCATGCAAGGCTGAGGCCAGAGTCTTGAAAATATAAAGATGGCTTTCAAACATAATTGGCGGCACAACAACGATTTTGGCAGCCCTCGCTATCCCGACAGCACTCCACAGGAGAATGAAGGCTGGAGCGTACGGCTTCATAGCTGAAAGGAGAAATAAGAGCATTACATCCCACACAAAAGGACTACATTTGGCAGTTTAAGCCCACCACCCTTTCTTTTGCACGGTTATGAGCACTTCAAGTTGTCCTCCTTCAAGCTGCAGCTCTCTACTCCGATTTCAGCACAGTATTTTCTAGGGTTTTGTTGTCAAGTAAGCTGCCGGGATAGAGAAGATACAGGGCTTTTTTCCCTCCTGAAAGGACACGTAACTTCGTGCCATGTTTTGCTTTAGTATCGATGCTGACCAGACACATAAGGGTGGAAAGCAAAAAAATCAGGCAGGAAGATGCTACCATTGACTAAGAGCCAACTTTGAGCTTCCAAAAATGGCATTCTGCTTACAAGAACGACTTCAACAACAGGAGTTAGTACTGCACGCGTGAACGCCACAACTTCCACTGAAGCACTTCAACAGCTACTTGATTCTGAACCTACTTAAATCAGCACTTAAACACCCACTTGAACACTAGCTCTACCTACGCTGAAAAGCCCCACTGCCACCCCAAATGCTCAGCTCCTGACAGCAGGAATGGAGGAAACACTTGTTACACGTGGTTGGCTGATTTAAAATGCTGTATGCAGCAGAGGAAAGCAAAGTGCCTTCAAAGCACAATGAGGACATGTCAGAAACTCCTCAGTCACCATCACCCTCCTAGGACAGAGAAATGAGTACAAGCCAAACCAAACAATCTGCTCTTTTCCTCCTGCCAAACCAATCCACGTGGAAGCCCGAGTCTGTTGCAGTGTCCTTTATAAATAAGAACAAGGGATAACACTGCTTGGTCCTTGCTGTCTCCCCAGTATTGTCATATAACCCTCTTAAAACAGATTGCTCAGGACTTTTCCTTACTTAATCTTACATGGGTTAGCAGCTAACAAACAGAGCAGCTCTTATTTTATACAGCTACTTATAAATCACTATATTCCTATACACTTATGATGTAAAAATTTAAGGGTTTTTCTGAGTTACATTACTCTGTACTAAGTTTTCTGAAGGGTGTCCCCTCCAGGTAGTTGTAGACAGCAGTTAGGTCTCCCAAGGAGAATGATTAATCCAACTCAGAAAAATTCCATTATTGATTCCATCTCCCCACGCTAGAAGCATTCCCACGGTATTGAGTTACTGCTCCTGTCAACAAGAGCGATATTACAAAACCATGAATGGAGGTGCAGGACTGGGAAACTCAGTTATGTTCCTATCAGCAGCAGAAATCAAAGGTTACAGGAGCCTAAGGGCTCATCACGATCCAGCACGTTGCCACAGGCCGGCTCTACTTCCATCTCCTGATCCGAGGCCTGGAGCACGGCACAGAAGAGACAATCCTTAGCCCTAAGGGATAGTTTCCATGGCTGGGGTGACAGACATGCCACCAAAAGCCACGGGATCTACAGCCATCCTTCCCTAGGATGCCGACAGCGTTTCTCCCCTTTGCTCCCCCTCCCCACACTTACCTGGCAGCCAAGTTTTAAACAGGAATCACATCAGACATTTTACTCCTTGCGAAAGCATTACAAATACTAACATGAAAACCTGGCAATACAATTAAAACCATTTACCAAACATTATTTTTTATCCTCTTGCAGCGAATCAGGGTCAAGAGATGACACAACACACTTCCCTGGCAGTCTGCACCTTGTGGTATCTTCAGAACTGGTAAAACAATAATCACTTCTCAAAAACCTATTATGCAACTCCCCCTCTTCAACACAAGCACCTTCCATGGGAGCTGGAAAATATATGCACAGGATCTGCCAAGTCATAGAGACATTAAACACATGATGCTGTTAGAGAAATGCCGATTTAAGTGACATTTTTACTGGGAAAAAAATCGCATTGACCTTCTACTGAACTTCTGGCAGGAACCTGCAGCCTCATCATTTCATGCCCCGGCCAGACAAAAGCAGGGAGCTCAGGTTTGAATTCTGCAGGAACAAGGGCAAGAGGTAACAGCACTCTGTAAGCCAATTAATCATGAGCCTAATTCCCACTTGGCATACTGGGACTGGGGAATGGGTGGGTGCCCGGTGCCATCAGCAGGGCATCAACACAGCCACCCAAGCTCAACTCCAGGTTCTCTCCCAGATACTCCTCTGCTCCCGTCTGCCCTCAGCCAAGAGCTCCCCCATCACAGCAGGTACTCCCAAAGGGACAGACTTGCCTATTCCAGTGGGAGTTTCCGATTCAGCTCATCTCCCAAAGCAGCAAGCAGTGCCCGGGCACAGAAGGCTTTACTGGACAACGCCAGGGTGGTGCTCAGCTGGAAGCCAGCTCATCACAGCCCTCAGGGGTTCTTCCTACTGACTCCCAGCCACACTCCCGCAGTCAACTCCCAGAACAAATCACTGGCCAAAACAAATAAAAAGGATCAATGTCCAACGCAATTGCCCTCCTTTGCTGCACAGCAGGAGCACAAAAAGGAATTGCCATGTGTCCTGACAGAAAAGATGAACGAGAAGCCCATAGACACAGAATCACACACTTCTCCAGGACGGTTAACAATATAAAACCATTTTTTGTACCTCTATCTTAAGTCCTCCTTGTTAGGGTTGGCCTCCATTAAACAAGACTGTTTAGGCGTTTGAGCTGGCATGCAACATCCTTTTATGGCAGAGGGCAAAAAGGAAAATCCAGATTTGCTAACATTTTAAAAAAATCCCTGTGACATGACATAACATAACCCCCCCATCCAAACAACACCCACAAAATGATCATTGAATCAAAGCCCATCCTTTCAGCCAAAAAGCCCTAGAAACAAGGATAAGGAGAAGAACCAGATGCAGAGCAGCTTTATAGTAGTGAAACCAGCTGCTGATTGGAAAGGGTTCTCCTATTGGAGCACAGCAAGAAAAAGTTAAAGGCCTACCATGGAGTTAAACATTAACTTTATGAGTAGCTGTTGGAGTAGGTTTAATGACCTGCATGTGGGGGTTTTCAAATGAAAGAGAAAGTATGAGTTTTGAAGGGTTGCAGAAAATCAAGCACACTCCTGGCAGTCAGATTGTTGGAGAGGTTTTCAGCCAACCAAAACACTTTTCAATAATGATTTATTGGTTTTAAGGAAGTGTTTTTCCATTCACCCAGCAGGACCGAGCAGGACCTACAACAGGAAGTGTTACTACACAGAAAATAATGACTTTCAGAAGAAAAAAATAGGATTTTCCACCCCCTCCACTTCCTTCACAAAGGTGTGACACCCGAAGGTTGGACAATGTGGAAATGAAATGAATAGCATTGAAATACGTGTTGTGCTAGTGGACCTTTAGAATAATCATTTAAACATTAAGTCTTAATGTCATATACATAAACATCAAACTCAAATTATTTTAGATAAATTCCAATTAATAATTGGTGCAACAGTCAATTACAGTCCTGGAAGAGGTACCCAAGGTTACATTTAGATTTGCTGCCAATCCTTAATCTGCTAATCACTGCTAATAGAACTTTTTGGCACATCTGAGGGTTTTTTCCTGCTTTACACCCCTGGCTGCCTAGCTGCTATTTCTGACACTCAGAAATAGCTATTCTCAAGCCAGCAATACCATTGCCCATGTTTTCCTCCATCACAGAGAGATCCAGAAGCAGAAGAGCCTCCATCCAGCACAGCCTGAATGCAAACTACCCCACACTTGCCACTACTCACAAGATTAAACAGTTTTTAGGCACTTTACACCTAAGGATATAAAGAGTCCTTTTTATTCACTAACCAAGAACAGTCCTGACTTCAAAAGCAGCAAAGGAAGTTTTACAGAGCCTGAGTTCAGGGATGCTATTTGCTTTTTCAAGATCCTCCCTTCCATTCAGCCTTTCTTTAAGGTTTGTTGAGTTTACCTGGGCAGTTTGAGCTCCTGAGTTTCCTCTGCCTGGAAAGGTGCCCTTCATCCCAAACAGCAGCGCTCTTCTGACAGCAAAGGAGCAATCTCTGAGCTGCTGATCGCTCTCACCTTACCCAAAGGGCTCAAATTACTCATTACCATTTCACAGAGACAGCACAGGTTAAAGGAACAGGCTGCCACCTCTGCAAGGCCAAATCTGCGAGCAAATTAACAATGAAATAACTATGCCAAATGGAAAGCTAATGTGTGCATCCCAGGAATATTATGATTGTTTAAAAAGGAGGAACACGAGACTTTCACGCACTTCAGCGAAGCGTGCGTACTGCAAATTGCCACGATTGTGGTAACATGCAGATTTATTCCTTCATCTTCCTCTCACTATTGTCCCACTCCCTCTACTATGCCTCCCTTGACCAGTTTTCAGTTACATACAGCAACCACCCATGCCAGGCTCCAGAGCCAGTTCCTGTTCTCCCACTAAGGCATATCTGACCTGAATTACCCCACCTGAGGTCAAAGACTGGCACCATGAGCAGGGCAGCATCACCTCAGCAGCCAATCCCACCCCTACCATGCCCGACTGCAGCCTTCACCACTGATAAGCAGGGTGTTTAATCCTCTTTAGATCAGATGTACTGTAGCTGTTGCAAGAGACACGTGGTTGAAAGCACAGCAAGAGAAACGCTGAGGGAAGCCGAAGAACGACTGCTCACAGAGCTCACTACAAACTGCCTCTGGGAAAAAAAGCAAAAACTCCAACCTAAGCAGCTGCTGACTGTGGTTTACTACTGCTCCTAATAAAAAGGAAGCATTAAAACAGGGAAAGAACCAACCACTGACCTCAGATTGTTCGCTGACATCACCCAATTCACTGCCGCTCCAGCCCTGCCCACTCCAAACCCCACTGACACCAACTCACTCCATGTACAGTGCTGTTTGCTTTAGCTGCTATTAAAAACAGTTTTACAGGTAAAACGTGGTACTCATCCTCCAGAGGCTTGTGAACACTTCAGTTATACAAACAGAGCCAAGCCCTACAACCCAGGTTGCACGACCAAAGGCCCTGTAAGCAAAGCCTTTTATCAAGCCCAAGATAGCCAGGAATGACTAACAGAAGGCACTTGCAGTTAAGCATGGCGCTGAAAGACCAAGAAAATATTTCAAGACAAAGGGAAGGTTTTACTAATACTGAGCACAGGATGATTCTAGGCTAAAAATACTGATGCTCAATCTCAATCTTAGCTGTGTCAGCCAAATGCATGCACTTGATACTCAAGACAAAATATACATGTACACACAAACATGCATGAAGTGCATTGATGCCTAACTGTGGAAGAGCCATCGAAGAAAAGAAAAAACTTGCCTTTTACACATCCTTCAATAGCTCTAATTTTTCACATTCCCCCCCACCCAACATTTTAAGATTTAAGAGCAATCCACACCAGTGTTTTTTTGCCAAGCACCCAGAAATGCTGCCTACATGAGGAAATGCACTGACCAAACATCTGACAATGAATCTCAGAAAATAATTTCATCATGGAGACAGGAAGTCTTTAATTAGTGGCACAACAGATGACAGTAAGGAAGACCGTGATCTTCAAGCTAAAACGTGCCTCCTTAACCATTCCATCAACCTGGGAATTGTAAAACATATGCTTAACCCCTAACACTGTTTGCTCTGCTATACATATTGCAGAGGAAATCCAGAATACTATTCCCCTAATCCTTTAGGAGCATTACAGTAAACCAAGCAGACTTCAGGCAGCAAACTGCAGTTGAAAACTAGGGAACACTTGGTACTAAGCGACCCACATGCTGAAAAGCAGCAAAAAAGCATCAAAAATGCAGAAACGTGCAGAGTCTCAGAGCAACAAACCAGGAACTTCACTGGGAAGAGACTCTGGTACCAGGTATTGTACAACCTTTGGATTTATGTCCTCAGATTTTCCCTATCGCACATCCTGTTACTAATTGCTGAGGCACAGTGCGTGCTGTGATTGCAATTCTGTGTTGCAATGTTTTAGATGAGTAGTGTGATCTGGCTTTCAACCACAGGCTCCTTTTCCAACCAAATGAATAAATTAAGAAATTAGTAAGACACGTGTATCGACAAGAGCAGGCTTTTGCATTTACTTTGTACAGTCTCCCAAACAACATCTTCTATCCAGTGATTGGAGCATTTCAATGAGCACAAAAAACATCCCATCCCCAGACAAAAGAGTAAGATCTGTAGGCATTACAAGGTCACTGCAATCCTCTGTCAGCTATGCAGACAGAAAAGGAGCTATTAAAGAGGGAGTCAAAAGGATATGCAACTTATAAAATCACTTTTAGTAACCACTTACTGTATGTGCAACGGGTTTTACCAAACTCTGAAGGGTTTTCCCGATGCTTTTGTACTCAACCACGGTACAAAAAGGATTTTAGAAATCCTCACTTGGCAGGTAGCATGGCAGAGGAGGCGCTTCCTCAAACCACAGGCTCCACAGTTTATACACAAAATCTTTTCAATAAGCATGCTAGCAGGTGGATCCTTCAGAATTTACAGGGGAACACAACTCTCCTTCTGTCATACTAGGATGACTTTATGCAGCCAAACACTCCTGGCAACACCTCACTCTTGCTTTTGGAAACAAGTGCTTTGTGATTCTTCACGGCTATGGAAAACCGTCCAAAACTTCTGCAAAGATTCATCACATCTAAAAAGATTAAGTATTTACAAATATTATCTTTATGAAGTGGTTATATTCTAAACCTACTCAGGAGGTCCAAATCAATTAATAGCAATAATTTGAACTTTTAATTGAGTCCCTTATAAACCCAAGCAAGGTCTGCATGCTTTGGGGTCCTAATGCTGCAGTAGTGACCCTATCAGCCAGGATCTGATTTCCCTGAGAGTAAAGGATTCTAGTCCAATTAAATATTTTCATAACATGAACTAAGTTCCACCAGGGCAAAGGCACCTTCCATTGCACGTGACCTATGCTCCTTAACACTCCATACACTAAAACTGAGCAAACAACGCACAATAAAAATATAAACTGTATTGAAGGTCAGTATTTTATGAGTATCCATTTTCCAAGTTCAGCCCAACTAACTGCATGGAATTGAGTTTCATCAAGATTTTAAAACCTGTGAAACATTAACCTCCGTAGACCAACCAGGTAGGGTAGTCAAAACAAATCAAGAGACGTTCTTGAGTCATTTTAATAACCCAAATAAAATGAAATGGAGCAAGAACAGCCAGTCCTTTTTGTCCTGTTTCACACGGGCCATCTCAAACGGGGCGTTTCAAGATCGCTATAATTTGCAACATTTTACAGAGTGAGGATTAGCAAAGCCAAGGAGTCACAAATTGCTCTAAAAACCCCCGTGCCTTCCACCGAGGGCAACCCGACTCCGAGTGCCGGCGGCTCGGATTTCTCCGCATTGCCGCTCTCCATTATCCAGCTCCGCTCCCCGTTGCCCACGGTTATCCCACCCCCGGCACCTTGGAAAGCCAACTGCTCCCAGCAAGCAGCCAAAGAGCCATCTGTTTGCAAGCCAGATACTCGTACTCCCGGTG